AGAGTCTTTGCATATTTACCTTTTTTCATTTCCCAGATTCTGGAGTTTATCTATTGACCGGTTTTGATTTTTATTTTGATCTATTTTGAATTGCATGACTGAAAACCAGCAATTCATAACTTTTACCTTTGATGACCAAATAGCTTGAATATTTTCTTTAGCTACTTCTTTCAAAATTGAAATTTGCATACATCTTGTGGTATTTTTTGGCTTGCTTTTTTTCAGCCTCATCCGGGGACATTATGAAGTGCGTTCATCTGTTTGCTGTTGTTTTTCTCTCGATGTTCCTCGTGGAATGCATCCGTGCAGCGCCACACGGACAAGGAACCAATGACTTGGAACCTTTATTCCGTGATGATGCTTTTGTTCTCAACGAGAGCAATGACGAACGAGAGGTCGGTTGTATTGATATTATCAGTAAATATTTCAAGGCCCTGTTCACACTACGCCGGAGAAATTTGAAATTTTACAGTTAATAGGCCTATCGTCCATACTAATCCGTCACGAAAACGGAGCTTTTCGAAAACGCTCTTCAAACCGGAGGGATTTGAAAACGCGGCTTCGTGCAACCTCGTTCCCAGGATCTCTCATCTTACCGCCCCCTGGAGGGGACGGTAAGATGAGGGGCATTTTGAAAACGGAACTCTTTGATAAATGACCTCCACTCCTATCTCCTATCTCAGGTTTCCCACTGAAAAGAATACTGCTTTTGATTGTTCTCGAACTTTTTTGTTTTTTATCTCAAATTTGTATTGTCACGACCGACTTCCTTCGCGTTCAACCATTACAAATGTTTCGTGGATGCGTCCAAAAACCTTAGTGAAACTTTTGTACTGTTTTGTTATCATTTTCCTTGTTTAGGATTATAAAAGATTTGAAAGGTACTGTAAAGGTGAAAGAGGCTCTTGTTGGACCACTAAGGACTGTTGCGATGATCTGGGGTGGTGAGTTTGAGTATTTTACTTTTGTTTCGTTTTTCATGTCGCATTTCTCCCGATTAGAATTTTTCGTTTCTCCTTGGTTTGAAGCAAAAAATGGTGTAAGGAAGTAGACATGAATATCAAAAAAA